CGGATGCCCAGACCGGCCCCCCACACCCCAAGGCCCGGCGCGCAGAGGACTAGGCCAGGGCTGGGGACCTCAGGGGACCCCAACCCCACCCCAGGCGATTTCAGAGGAACCGGGACCCGGAAATGAATGAGATGCCCGGGCCTAGAATCCTAGGTGGGGTCCGGGTCGGGGTCGGAGAAGCCAGGGAGGGGTCAGCAGGAAGCTCTCAGCAGGACCCAGGGGTCGAAGGCCATAGGTCAGAGGGAGGGGCGGGGCCGGGCCAGAAGGGCCTGGCAGGGAGGTGGGGGATTCGGGGATTATTGGAGGTGGGTGGGCCCGCGGCGCCATTTTGTCGAGCGAAGGGGTAGCACGGGCCTGGCGGCCGCCCTTACCATCTTCTGCTTCCTCTGTCGCCGCCTCAGCTACTGCCTCAGCCGCCACCGCCGCCACCACAGCCGCCTTCTTAGCCGCCGCCGCCGCACAGTAACTTCCAGCCACGCTACAGCCTGCCCTGATGGCGGCGTCGCCCTCCCGTCATTGGTCCGTCCTCTAGCCCCGCCCCAGGATATACGGTCTCTGCGCGCTCACATTGGCCAGATACGGAGAAGTCACGGACGCATTGGTCGCCACTCCTCTCTTCGTGGTCAAGTTCGGTTGAAGGAGCAAAACCCCGCCCGGGACTGGGAAGCGATAGGGCAATAAAATCCGGAAGTGGGCGGGGGCCGCACCCCCGAAGCCTCTTGGGATTTGCAGTCCGCAACTCCAGGAGGTTCAGCCAGCGTTTCCTCTTTCTGGTTTACTACGCTTTTTCATACGGTTCTTATCGGGTTCCCACAGCAGCCCCGGAAGACGGGGGGACCACCATAACACCCCCAGCCTCCCCGGGGTCTCGGCATATCTAAACAGCTCCCGCACTAGTTCTTTGAAAGTCTTTGAATTCACAAATCAGACTCTCTGTTCAAACACTTCCCATGGCTCCCCAGCCCCCCAAGGATCCAGTCCCACCTCCTGGGCTCCAAATTTTGAGCCCCTCCAGCCTCCCTTGTCCACCCTTTATCCTGACCCTGTCCACTCCCCTCTCCCTTTGGGTCCTTTCTAGACCCTGCTACCTCCGCCAGGTATCTGTCTGACTGCATTTTTCTTATTCTAATATATTTTATTGACTTTTTTACAGAGAAGAAGGGAGAGGGATAGAGAGTCAGAAACATCGATGAGAGAGAAACATGGATCAGCTGCCTCCTGCACGCCCCCTACTGCGGATGTGCCCGCAACCAAGGTACATGCCCTTGACCGGAATCGAACCTGGGACCCCTCAGTCCGCAGGCCGATGCTCCATCCACTGAGCCAAACCGGTTAGGACCCCACTGCATTTTTCCCAAAGCCAAGTCAGGCGCCTTCTCTGGGCTCCCATAGCCCTGACTTTGCTGTGTCCAGACTGGCTGGGTACAAATCAAGCCTCAACCACCCACCCCTCAAGTGACAGCCTGGTGAGGACAGGACCCAAAACATAGGAAAGACAGAATAAGTTACTGAGTGGAAGCTACTAAGTATTACTCTGAGAACACAGCAAAAAATACCTTATTTTATAGGAGCCAAATGAGCCTCAGAGGGCTAAGGTCTTGCTGAGGGTCATGTGGCACGTTCCCAAGGGGCAGGTGGAGGATTCAAACCCTTCCCTCTTCCCCACAGCGCTCTCAGACCTGTGAAAGTCATGACATATGTGAGACAAGTGACAATTTAGTAGACATTTAATGACATTAAGGAATTACTTTTTCTAAGTGTGAGAAATTTTGTGACTATGTTTCAAAGAGTCCTTATCTTGGAGAAATGCATTCTTAAATATTTCCATAAGAAATAACACCATGCCTGAGATTTGCTTTAAACACACACACACAGGAGGGAGCAGGAGGGACTGCAGGTAACTGGTGGTCAGAAATGGGTGGGCACACGACGAGGTTCACGTACTATTCCGTGGACTGTTGCCATAGGCTGGATTCTGACTTCCTATTCCCCTTTCCGGCCCAACCCCAGACTTCTGCCCTGGGCCAACCCCACAATCGGAGGAGCACTCATGTCTGAGTCATCCAACCTCCTCACAAGAACAGCGGCAGGAGCGGTCTGAAGCGAGGGAGATGCTTTAGGGGGAAGGGGGTGTCTCAGAGGCAGCGAGGCGCTCAATGGCTCAGCGATTTTCGGCCCTTGAGCATGCGGCGAAGAATGACCTGGACGCCGGCCGGTGTGCTCAAGCGCTTGATCCAGCCGTGCTTGTGCTTGCGTTTGATGTTGCTCGGCTGGTACTCGTTCCCGCGTGCCTTGCCCCGGCTCGGCTGCGTGGCGGGGAGCCCCCAGGCGTCGGGCAGCAGCAGCAAGGTCTGGGGCTGGAGCCACCTGCAAGGGCAGAGAGACAGCGAGAACGGTCAGAGGGGGCGCTGTGTGCCTTTGGCTTGGCGCTCAACCTCTCTAAGCCTGGGCTCCCGATCCGTGCAGGGACTGAGCCTAAAAATGCAAAAGGCGCTCAGGAACTGCGCAAGGCACCGGCAAGTCGTGTGCTCGGTAACCAGCCGGCCCCAGCCCCCGATCCCGGTCTAATCCCCCGGAGGACTCACCTGACATCCAGGAGAGCCCTACTGACGGGACACAGCGGGCGACTCAGGGATCTGCCCAAGAGCGCCATGTCTACCCTCGGATCACGCGGCCCGTCCGCGTCCGCGTCAGCTATTCCGAAATCCACAGGCTCCGCAGCCGCGGAGCGGAGACTTCTGGGAAATGTAGTTTCTCTAACCTCATCGCCGCGGGGGCCTCCGAGGTTGTAGTTCTACTTCCTGCGTGCCCAAGGCGTGAGCGGCCGCACCCGCAGGTGTGTGTAGTTGGAGTGCGGACCAGGAGGAGCTGGCGAGCGGCACTTCTTGGGCCTGCGCGTTGTGTCCCGCGATCTGCTGGGAGTTGTAGTTCCTCCCGTCCCCTGGCCGAGGGCGCCCGGGGTGGCGGTGGCACAGCTGGTGACAGCTGCAGGAAGTGGCTGGTTGAACCTCCCACGTCCATCGGGAGCCCGGCAGATGGTACACAGTTGGCTGGCAGCTTTCCTCTGGTCGCAGCCAAGTCTCCGCCCCTTGGCGGTAAGCCCAGGAGGCCTGAGTTCGAGTTGGCTGGAGTCCGAGGGGTGATCCCTGCTCCTCTCCGCGATCCAGTTTCCAGTCAAGTGGCAAGCTTGTCCTTGGCAGTGCCCCCATTGGAGCGCTAGAACTTTTAAAAAAATTGTTTTTAATCCTCACCTGAGGAGATATATAGACGTATAGATAATGATGAGAGAGAGAGGGAGGGAGGGAGGGAGAGAGAGAGAGAGAGAGAGAGAGAGAGAGAGAGATGAGAGAAACATCAATGGGTTGTCTCCTGGAAGTGCCCTGACCAGGGATCGAACCCGAAACCTTTTGGTGCACAGGGCAACACTCTAACCAACGGAGCCACCAGGCCAGGATTAGAAGGATTTTTCAAATACTCAGATCTGTGGCTCAGTGGTTGAGCGTGGACCTATGAACCAAGAGGTCAAGGTTTGATTCCCGGTCAGGGCACATGCTGGGGTTGCAGACTCCCTCCCCAGTGTGGGGCATGCAGGAGGCAGCCGATCAACGATTCTCTCTCATCGTTGATGTTTCTATTTCTCCCTCCCTCTCCTTTCCTCTCTGAAATCAATATATATATATTCCCCACTGTCCCAGGGAAAATATTCAGCTCCTCTGGCAAGCATGTGAACACACCCTAACTTTCAGCCATGCCCTCCCCTGCCTAGTACTCCCCTATTCATCTTTATTTAAAAAAAAAAAAAAAAAAAAACACAAAAAAAAACCTTTCTCTGATACTGTCTCCCTAAATGCTGCTCCTCTCTCTGGCCCAAATCTGCCCCCACGTACCTCTCCCCACTTCCAGAAGCCCGGGGCCCCTCAAGGGCCAGGCTTGGGGCTGAGTCCCTGCGGCACCCAAGCATCTCCCAGCTTGGGGAGGGAGTGTGTGTTTGCTGCAAGAATATTATCCCAGAAGCGCTCTAAGTGGGCGGGAGTGGGTGGCTGGACCTAATCCAGCTTGGGCAGCAAATTTTAGGAGTTGGGAACGGACAAGGAATGGTTAACCCCTTGTCCTCTGAAGCCCATCTTACCGCACTGTCATTTAGCAAACCACTACAGTACTACACCAGTACAATAATGCCCATAAAGTACCGAGTGCTCACCGTGCCGTTTTACCTCCATAGAGAACGCACGAGGAGATTAATTGCATAGATAAATAAGTGGAGTCTCAGGGAAGCAACCAGCCCGGGGTCATATATCTGCAAAGGGCAGAGGGTGGCTTTGGACCCTGGACTCTCTGACTCCAGCTGGGACCACAGAGTCCCTGGTTAAACTGGCCGATCTGGAGAACTCCGACCCGCTAATTCCCAGAGCGCCAAGACTTCTGTGTAAAGGTTTAAGGAATACATTTCCAGGACTTGGAATCATACAAGCGTGGATCCAAATCGCATCTCTGCCCACCCGCCTCCACTAGTCTTGTGACCTTGTGCCTCAGTTTCCCCACCTGAAATTGTAAAGATCTGGACGTCTCTACGGGGAAAGGTCAGCACAGAGAGAGGACCTGGGGCTTCGTTTGGAGGGGACCGGGCAGTTGGGAGGCAGGGGCTGGCCGAGGGGATCCTATTCGCAGCGAGGGGGCTCCGGGTCCCGCCTCCCTCAGCTCCTCAAGCACCAACTTGCGACCCCTCCTCGGCCCTGGGCCAGGCCCAATACCTCCTCCCACCTCTGCAAGCCCCCAAGCGGGCTGGGCAGTTGCAGCCCGCCCCCATGCCGAGATGCCGCTTCTGATTGGTAGTCTAACTAGGGCAGGTCAGTCCGCAGCTGCGATTGGCGGAGGTGCCCGTCGGTCGGCGCGCGGCTCCGCCCCCCGGGGAGAGACTTAAAGGGCCGGTTTGCTCAGCAGCAGCGGCGGTGGGATGCCCCCTCCTTGACCACCATTCCAGACCCGCGCCGTCCCGCGTAGACGCGCTAGACGCGCCCGGCCCGACCCCGCGCCAACATGTAAACGGCTCCTGCAGGCAGACGCTGGCTTCTCCGCCCGGGACCCTCCGCCCCGCCCCGGGCCCGGAGCCCTCGATGAGGTGAGCGGGGAGTGGGCCCTGGGAGGGGGACATTGAGGCCTCCGGGGCTTCCACTTCTGAGGGGGTGTCCACAAAGTCCGCGCTCGGGTGCTTAGGAAGTCGTGGAGCCCCCGTGGCCTTGACCCCGCCAAGGTGCTGATAGGCACTCGGGAGGTAGGGGCCTGGCCTTAGGGAGGGGGGCTGCCGTGGCGCATCGGTGTTCCCCTCTGCAATCTGGGGTTGGGACCAGCCAGAGGTGGGGGTGCAGCCTGCTCCCCTTCCATCAGCAAGTATGGGTCACCCAGGGCCTTCCGCGGCGTGCGTGATCCCCGCGGCGCCAAGGATGGGAATGGGGGAGGGGTTGGTCCCGTCTCCAGGCCCTAGAGACAATGGGGGTGTGATGTGCCCATATCCCCCTTGAGTTATGTAACTGCCTGTGGTTGCCATGGACACGGGAGAGGTGGCCCAGGGAACAGGATGGAGACCTGGAAGCCCCCAGGCAGAACACTGCCTTCTCCATCTTCATCTCCACCGTTAGGGGTTGTGTGTCAGCCCCCCAGAACCCAGTGTTGGAGCCCCAGCTTGTCCTTCTGTGAAACAGATCCAGCGCCCCATGGTCTTGGAGAGAGAGATGGACAAAGGCTCTGGAGCTCCGTCCCAAACCTTGTCCCCCGGGGCCTTACCTTTCAGGAGCCAGGTTTAGAGACTTGGGATTGGGGCATTTTTAGATGCCTTCAGAGACCCACAGAGCATGCTAGCTCAGTGACAGAGTTAATGAAAGAGTGCATGTGTGAGTGGATTAATGAATGGATAAATGAATGAATGGGCTTAGGAAACCATAACTGCTATAAATCTGAGCTGGGGGAGATCCTCTGGACTGGGCCATAATGCGCCCCCCCCCCCCCCCCAAGGTCCACCTGACTACACCACCTTCCCTATAAATGCCTCTTGGGCCACCATAGCCAGGTCCTTCCTCTCTAGGACAGACCAGAATGGCCAACCACCAGCAGGCACTGACCAGACAGAACATCTTTCTTTTTAAAAAAAATATATTTGTATTGATTTCAGAGAGGAAGGGAGGGGGAGACAGAGATAGAAACATCAATGATGAGAGAGAACCATCAATTGGCTGCCTCCTGCACAACCCCCCACTGGGGATCAAGCCCGCAACCTGGGCAGGTGCCCTTGACCGGAATCGACCCCAGGACAGGACCCTTCAGTCCGCAGGCCGATGCTCTACCTACTGAGCCAAACCTAGCTGCTAGGGCTTTCTTTCCATAAATATATTTCTATTGATTTCAGAGAGGAAGGGAGGAGAGAGAGAAGCATCAATGATGAGAGAGGATCATTGATTGGCTGCCTCCTGCCCACCCCCCACTGGGGATTGAGCCTGCAACCCGGACATGTGCCCTGACCAGGAATCCAACCGTGACCTCCTGGTTCATAGGTTGATGCTCAACCACTGAGCCATGCTGGCTGGGCCAGTCAGAACATCTTGACCCCGATCCTCCATAAACTGGAGCCTAGATGGAGCCTCCAAGGGTGACTTCTGCTCCAGGTGTGGGTAGTGGATGGTGTGGGGGCCGCTCCCAGGGCCCCTGAGCTGTCTTCCCCACTCACAGGACACACCATGCTGACCGGGGTGACCGATGGGATCTTCTGCTGCCTACTGGGTGCACCACCCAATGCAGTGGGGCCACTGGAGAGCGTTGAGTCCAGCGATGGCTACACCTTCGTGGAGGTCAAGCCTGGCCGCGTGCTGCGGGTGAAGCACGCTGGACCTGCCCCAGCTCCAACCCCACCTCCACCGCTACCTGATACAGCCCAGGGGGACCGGTCCGGCTTGGTCCGGTGCCAGCGCCGAATCACCGTGTACCGTAACGGGAGGTTACTGGTGGAGAACCTGGGCCGGGCACCAAGAGCTGACCTCCTGCTTGGGCAGAATGGCTCCGGGGAGCCTCCGGCCTCTCTAGAGGTGGAGCTGGCAGACCCGTCAGGCAGCCCCAAGAGGACCATCCACATTGACTGTGAGAAGCGGATCACCAGCTGCAAGGGCACACAGGCCGATGTGGTGCTCTTTTTCATCCATGGTGTTGGCGGCTCCCTGGCCATCTGGAAGGAGCAGCTGGACTTCTTTGTGCGCCTGGGCTATGAGGTGGTGGCTCCGGATCTGGCCGGTCATGGGGCCAGCTCGGCGCCCCAGGTGGCTGCAGCCTATACCTTCTATGCGCTGGCAGAGGACATGCGTGCCATCTTCAAGCGCTATGCCAAGAAGCGAAATGTGCTCATTGGGCAT